CATTTCAGATAGGTCGATTGCCAAAAACTAGCAACCAACTACACAGACCAATTAACTCCAAGACAAAACTATCTGTAATCTAGAGCGACTGTTTATACCTAATGGGTTGTTTTTAATTAAGAATAAAGAACAAAATCGACCTCAATGTTTAAAGGGAAAAACATAAAGAAAGAACAAATAGGCCTGCAGCGTGAAGGGTGGCCAAAACAATTTTACGCGTTCCACCACAAGAGGGCGCTAGCGCGACCAACCAACGTCAATTGAAGTCCTAAAGTTTTTGGCTCTCTTGCATCTTACGTGATGTTCTGTGGCACTATTGGACTGATTATTGCGCTTACAGCTTCAAAGCCAGGTATTGAAAAAAAGTTGAAGCCAAAATCGAATATTGGAAAGCTGCCCTGGCTCGCGCGCCCGCGGCGGCAGTGATATTTAATGCACTGTCGGTGCAGGTCTTCATAGTGCAAAGGTAGCGTGAATGCACTGACCATTCGCAGAATCAGGTTATATTAGAGATGACCAATAATCATTAACTAATACTCAATAATCAATACATGTGTTTTAATTTCTGAACAACGTTATCCAAACATTTCATATTTGGTAACTGAAAAGTGATGTTAAAATATATTTAAAAAGTCTCAGGACACACTGATCAATTTTTTATAGTTTTTATAAATTGTAATTTTTATTTTATACATCACTTGAGGAAAAGGGGATATTACAGGTATCATTATGATTTCGACAGACTCTCAGCTGGAGTGGCGTTTCCTGTTCCATATAATAGTGTATAATTTTGCCATTTTGTATCTTTTCCTTCATTCCATTTGTTGGGGGACATAGATATTTAATGACCCAGTCCACGGTCAGATCAAGGTACATCCGCTTTGTGTCAAGATCATCGATACTCCACAGTTCCAGAGACTGCGTTACATCAAACAGCTAGGCCTTTGCTACCTTGTCTTCCCTGGTGCAGCACACAATAGATTTGAGCATTCAATAGGGTGAGAGGCCATTTGAGAAAGAAACATAGACCAGGGAAGAAAGGCACAAGATTTGATTAACATGGGAACCAATTAACAGTGTTGTATGTGTCAGGTTGGAGATTGGAGGGAGCAGTCCGCAGGCAGGTTTTTGTTTTTTCAATTATTTTCCGAGAATTGAGAATGATAACAATTTATTCATCTATAGACCGGGATCAATTTGAAACCCCCTTTTGAAATATTGCAACTACTCTCGATCAAGCAGATGAAAATATCATGTTGTACCTTTATAGCTTTTGCTTTGAAGTCTTGCATAAAATTTGATACCGAATTCGCAAAAGTCAGATGGAGCATTTTCATGAGATTAGCCGTTTCTTTGAGAGTCAGAGGTCATCCCAAAACTGAAATCCAAACGTGAAAGGAAAAAAAGGAGGTATTATGCAACCTGTAGAAATATGTTCCCTTTTTTGTCAAGTTTATATGTTTTTCGTGTCATATCGTATCCAGAACTGATGTCAGAACAGCAGAACAAATGAAGAGAAATTGACACCATAAAATACAATGAAAAATAGTCCTGAATAGTCCAGTCCGAATTGGGTGAAACTGATACTTTAGCCGCCTTCTAGGGAATTTTTGACACACACGAACAAACTTTGGGCACTTGTTCGAGAAAAATGTCCAATTCCCTTCCCCCTTCCTTCAAAATCTGAATAAAGCTATCTGCTGGAGAACTGCTGGCTCCCCAAAATTAATGAAGTTGGATGAAGAACCAAGAATGGGCAGGGAGCGACAAACTGAAATAGTACGTCTGTTTCAAGTATGTTTTACTTTTGCCCATGCCTAATTGTATGCACAGTATTAAACCGAGCTCGCCAATCAATTTTTCTCCACCCCCTTTGGATTTTCCCATCAGAGTGTATCACCTGGCTGGAAAATACTGTCGGACACTGCAGACGCAAAAGCCAAAGCTTGGTATCTATGAGAAGGATGTCCTGTGTGTTCAGATAGCTGGTCTTTGCCATGACCTAGGTAACCCTATGTAGCTTTATTTATAAGAGCCTTTTTTAGGCACTGAGAATGGAGAAATCGTGGCCTAAATGATTTGTTCAGGAAATCACTTACATGTACATGAAGTTCGACTCACATTTTCAATTCAAGTCCCATGATCGCCAGTGCATTTTTATTTCAAGGCAACCAGGTACTTTTTACTTGAGCGTCATTATTTCTAAAACTGAAAGTGTGCAATTTAGTACAACCACGTCCTATTGATGTCAAGCCTAAAGCTGTCACATTTAGATTTTGAGGCCCCATTCCCCGAATAAAATCTGGGTTCTTTACTGGATTTGCCCGTCTTTGCGTTGTGGGACTTTTTATTTTCGAATAAATTAATATTCAATTACTTGAAACCGTATCTGCAGTTGCCTGCTACACACTTGGAGTATGAGGTGTGCCTACTTCATCCACCACAAGCTTGTAAATGATTGCTGTCAATTTTGCTTGCCTGCAAAGTCGACGGCATTAATCTGAATTAGCTCCATATCGTGTGTGTATACCGGTGTTATGTGTGTAGTATTTTTCCAGTGCTGGAACGGTACTGGGAGGTTTGCTGTAACCATTGCATTACACTGTTACTGCAGATGGACGAGTTAACTATGCATGTGTATCCTTCTCATGAAAACTATTTCCTCCACAGCTCCCAATCCTTCGCAATATAAAAAACGTATTGCTATTCTGCTTTTGTCACACGAATGGGGCAATGGTGTAAGGGGGGCAACTGTAGGGATGGGGGAGCCAGAGGCGGCACGCCCCCCCCCCAAAAAAATGGTAAATTAAAGAAGGGATAAAAGGAGTATGTACAGGTCTTAGACCACCATTAATAGCTCTGGCTCTAGCTCTAGTTTTATAGAATTTGTAAACATTGGGAAGACAATAAAAAAATTCTCATTCGTAAAAAGTGAATTAACATTAAAGAACTGTCACAACTGAGATTGAATCTAAACATCGTAATTAAGTGTTAGTTCACGAGACGATCTCAATTACACTTGGTACCGGTTTTAACTGATAGAAGGCTAAAATACAAATGAGGCTGAAACAAGGCTCCTGTAAGTCCATTCTGAAAACTGCTGACAAATATTTTATTGATGCGTCTACAAGACCATGATAAGGGCCTTCATCAAAGTGTCATTGCTCAAAGACCTGCACTAATGACCCCATCGCTACTCATAGATAGGTAAAACTATGAAGCAAATTTAGGGACAGGACACAATCTCTAAGCCCTGCAAATTTCAATGTTCTGCTGCTTTCCATTGTTAAACAGGAAGCGTTTAAACTTTTGTAGCCCCAAAATCATCAAAATCGCACATATTCTACTTAAGAAGTACATAATTGGGCCATTTGCCCTGAAGCTGAGGTTGGATTGACCTAAAATTATGCAAACCTCAAGGCTACCTGTGACCCCCATTGACACCAAATTTCAGCCAAATCCGTTGACCCCCACCCGATCACATTCTGCATGGTGCTCTCGTGGACACGCTCTTAATGCTTATCTTTTCATGAACTGTCGTATGTTAAAATGTATTTTGTAGTGTAAAGAGAATATTCCCACAATATGGATTCATATCATGGCCGCCGTTTTATTTTCTTCTTTTGAATCTTTTGATTATGCCCTAGGTCACGGCCCATTCTCCCACGTGTTTGACAACATGCTCATTCCTAAACTTCCATCAAATTCAGAAAGCAAATGGACGGTAAGCAGATTTTATATCCCTGGACGAAAATACACCAAAATATCGTCGAATCCCAGAAAACTCAACAGAATTAAAATAATGACTGTTAGATCGGGAAGATCGGGGCAGATTTGGTGAATTGATTTGGTGAATTGAGACAGCGTGCTATTTTAGCATAGTCTGTTGGTACGAATCAAAAAGAATAGCTAAATGGAACTGGAATTTATATTCATAAAAAACTTCAAATACCCTGCCGTATATTTTCATGACAGTAGCCAGACACATATTTCCAGGTTCTGGTCATTGGTCGGCATTTACACATCTTTATTACAATTAATAAAACATGGTTCATGGGCAGTTGAACTGGAGGAAGATATGAGTTTTGGTCATTTCCAGATTATGTGAATTTTGTGTTACGTGCACGCAGTTACCTGGAAGTTAATGTTCAATACGAGCCACATTTACCAGTACACGGTGTTAAAATAATGAAAGTTGGAAAGACCCTCTCCTTGTATTACAAAATGTGAATATAGCTAACATTTTGGAAAGGATTTCATTCCAACAGTACTTTTGTAATAACTATTTTTGGATCAAGGCAATTATGAGAACTATTTAACAAAATTGTCAAATTTTAAAATGATCCAAAGAACAACATGTAACATGAAACACAACGGAAAATGATGTAAAGGCTTCGTCTGAAATTACGCGTTGTAAATAATAAAAATAAAAAGAGATTCCAATGACCCAGTATTTGTTTTTGTTTTACCAAGTAAAATAATATCTCACTGTGCAATCGGTATATTTTTTCAAAACTAAGAATGGTATTTTAATGTGTATTAATTTTAATGGGCCTGATTTGGATGAGGTTTTTTTTCTGAAACCGAAAATGCATCTTGTTCAATATATCCAGAAAAAAAGCATCATAAAATTGCTGTGATTCAGATCTTCCGTACACTTCAGGTGGTCTATTAGCAACCACTTACTATTATTGGTTTTTCTATGTCTATAGACTAATCCGATTAGACTGCATACCTGCGGTGGCACCGCAATCACACGCACGTTCTTCAGCTTGACGCGCGCGTGCAATAGGCAAATTACGACAACCTGTTGGTCCAAGAGGCATGTAACGCACGCGTAGCACCTTACCACAAGCGTTGTGCCACCGCAGTGACGGCGTCTAATTTTGGTCGTCGAATTACACTATAGCTCTAAAGAAGACTGGTGTCTTGTACACTGGCACTGTTCATTTAAACTGATCTTCGCAGGAGCAGCCTGCTCACACCGTTTTTCAAGAATTACACTTCTATGAGTGATGCTTGAAAATCTAAATTCAAATTTGAACTAACATGAAAGAAAGGGAAAAGTCTCACTGAAATGTACGTCCGATTTTTTTATTTACCCACACACGTGAACCTTGGTGTTTTTTTCTTCCGGGGGAGGGGGAGGTGGTTACACACCTCACCACACACGAAACTAAGTTGCACTTTGCAGTATAAATATTTCTCTGGTTAGGGATCGAAAACCATATACCCGAATTCGACTTTAGACAGCCTATCTATTGGTCACGGAGGCGTCAGGTGACCTTGCAATCAATATTTAGGAGCATACTGAATATAAAATCACAAAGCCTCCAATGGTTGTAGAAATACAGTATTGTTCTATTCAATGTTCAGAACAAAGACCCAATAACGATGCTGTAGCTGGTATGGCTAGCGTTCGTAACTGAGGGTTAAGTGAATGTCTGATACTCGGATTTATCTGGGTTACTAAATCCAAGAGAGCAGTTTTGAAAAATGGAACTAAAGGCCAAATTATTGCTTGGATCGAGTAAGCCCCTACTTGCATGTATGTTAAAGAGATGAGAGATCAAATTTCCTGCCAAAAAGGAACAGTGTTAAAAAAACGTTATGTCTGACATTTGACACCCTTAATTTTTTTACATCAAAAGTAGTTGTCAAGGATTAGTTCAGGACACTGATGCCAAACTGTGATACTGTGTAAAAGGTACTTGTACATGGATGCATGTTCAACCATTTCAAGGCACGAATCCATAATCCTCATAACTTGAGCGGAATGCTTTCTCTGTGTTTCGATCTTACATATGCATGTGTTATTATCTCATGGTGTCTGTTTTTGTCAGAGTAAGTAATGATGTACTGTAATCCTTCTCCCACACGAAAAGCATGAGAAGGCTTCACTGGAGATGTTTGATCATCTGATCGATTCCAATGATCTGAAGGGCGACTTTAAGAAATATCGTTTGACAGATAGGGACATCACATTCATTAAGGAATTGATTGATCCACCAAAGAAGCAGGTAAGAAAGTAGAACTATCAATGCATGTAATCCTATTTTCTTATTCCTCATAACTGGTTCCTGCATGCATAACACATTTCAAATTATATGTTCTCCACACCGCATAGGCACCCTGATGAACCGCTAGGAACTTTTTGTGTACCACCTAATGTAAAATTGAGTAAACTATGCGTTAATTAAAGCCTGTTCCATCAGGCTACAATTAAGAACGTCGTCTTTTAATCAAAACAGTGTCCCCCGTTTAAGATTCAGTGAGCGCGCTCTGGATGTGTAGTCATGTGCCCAGTAGGTCATGAAAACATCTTAGTGTTTAAGTGTACACGAGTCTACATCAGCGACAGAGAGGAGATTTCTCTCTCTCTCAGGGGATCTAAAAAAAATGCAGTTGAACTTTCAAACAGGGGCTTGAAAGAAAACCGAAACCAATTTACAATACTGGAGAGCAAGTTATTCATCTACAACATCCTGGGGAAGAACATACACTGACTTTGACAGAAAGTCTTTTTCGCCTGCAGCAAGCAAGTATTTATGTCATTTCAATGGAAGTAGATGGACGACATAATGGAAAATTACGATATCTCAGACATTTATGATTTAATTGAGATTTGCCTTGATTAGATTCGCATATATTCTATAAAGAAGTTGACACTCAACTCGGCATGTTTATTGATTTTCAGCACGTTAGGTGTTCAAACGTCCTTCAAACATTTTGACTAAATCTTTTGGTCAGAAAAAAAAATTAATTTAAGTGACCGGAAAATTTCCCGTTTGTCTGATTGCAATTTCAGGCTTTACTATCCCATTCTCTTGCAATGTTTCCTTTCCAAATTAGTTTTAAAACAGCTGGTTTGCAAAAACTGTGTTGAGATAATAGCATGCCTAAACAGCTCCCAATGAATGAGTGTAAACATTGTGCAGTTGCGACCAAATAGTGGGCATGTGCATGTTGCACTAATCATCAAGTCCCCATCAAGCCATGTCGCTTCAGCAAACGGAAGAACCGTATCACAATATGCAGTAGATTTAAGAACCTGTTTATTAAAAATGCACTATGCTCATCAAAAAAAAATGTTTGAGTCCTTTTTTTAAACTCGACATGTATTAAACCCTGACCCTGTCCGCAGGCTCAGTTAATATATGTATGCAAGATTGTTGTATCCCATTGGGGTTCTAATGAATATTGCATACTTCCCCCCCCAAAAATTAAAACTACAATGCTGTGCCAAACATGTCCAAACTGAGTGCAAACTGCATGAAGCTGATCTTGTGTTTACTTTATGAACTAAATAAATTTGCCAATTTCCAAAAAAGCTACCTTTGAGACCACCAGAACCATGTACAATATGAAATACACACTTTCTGATGGCCTCCTTCCTCGTTTGCTCCACCCCGCGGTGTCGATCACGTTTGAAATCGTGTTTAAGTCAGAGACCACACAATAGCTTCTCATTATAGTAAAACATTTGAGAATATTCATTCCGTTTCAGACCTTAATCACAAATTTCAATGAACAGATTCCACCACACTCTCAGAAATACACTAATGTGGTGCATGCTTCATCTTGAGTCCTTTTTAGAGAAGAGTCTTTTGATTTATCCAGAATAAAACAAATTCACAGAATCGGACAGGTGCAATACATGCACAACAGACCTTACAAACGTTCTAAACATTTCCAAGGATGATTGCGTTTACTTATGACCCGATTTTATCAATATGTCTTGGGTTTTTCCCTTCATAAAGAAATGCTCATCTGTTGTATATTGATTTACCTTTATATTACACTACCTTGGCTAAGTTTCTTGTATGCATTAAAATTTAAGGGTTTCAACCAACGGCGAATCCAGTTAACATGATGTCGGGGGGTTCCTCCCCCCACGGGATACGCCACCATAGTTTCAACATGAGCATAGTTGGTGCAGTTGGTTTAGGGTACGATTTTCATTGCAGGAAAAAAATGGGAAGAGGACATTGGATGGACGCACAAAGGAAAAGCACTTCTTGTACGATATCGTGGCCAACAAGAGTAATGGCATCGACGTGGACAAGTGGGACTACTTCCTGCGAGACTGCCACAACCTGGGCATCTCCAGCAGCTTTGACTGTCATCGCTTCATGGAGTGCTCCAGGGTCATCGAGGTGGATCACAAGAAGCAGATATGTTTCAGGGATAAGGTTAGTCCATTACTCTGTGTATGATGCTGCTTCAGTTAACTTGGTGATGGCTGGAAATAGCACGCTTGCTTGCCAGCTGGTCACTTTTATATTGCACATCTCCTGTTGACAGCTAAAGCAAACAGACAGGTTTCGTCACTTTATTAATCTATCCAGATATGTAGCACCCCCTTGTCGAGAATTTAGAGAGAACTTAATATTGATATCCTGACATTACATTTTCATCCCACATCATTTTGTTTTGCATCCACGTGAGCCGAAACGTTTGTTTGTGCCTTAGACTTTCCTTATGCATTGTCACACCTGCGTGTTGAATAAACTTTTAACTTCATTCAGTTATCGTATTCATGTTATAAGCTGTTGAGCCTTCGTGAATGCCACACCTGTATCAAATGACCATGGGACGGTGTTTGTGCACTATAGTCTGTTAAGAAAGTCTGCCAAACGGTTGGAGTCCCGATCCTAACAGACAAACCAGGAATTCAATACAGGACCCAAAAATTACACCTCACACAATTTTACTGTAATTCTTTTAATGAAATGATTCATACAAAATGTATGATATACATTAACAAGAGTAATAACAGAAAAGTTGAGCAGGGCTTGCAGTCTGTTTTCCTTAAGTTCACGTCAGATCAGTTCAGTTTTTTTAATTCCTGAACGTCAAGTTTATTTACGCAAAGCATCGGTAACGCCAAATTCAAACTGTCTAGAAAAAATCATAACCAACCCAGACGCACAACGACCTACGTCGGAATTTTCTAATAATAAACTCATTGATAAGAATAACTCGAGTTCTAGAAAGCTTTTCATATGCATGAACAATTTATTGAAACCTCGCATGAAAACCACGGAACCTTTTGCTCCGAATCATGTAGACTTACCTTGCTGCTGTAGAAGACTTTGCTAATTGGGGCTGAACAGGGGATTCCACTGTTAAACTCGAACAATTCTTAGTGGTTACTGAACATAGTTTTAAAAGAAATCACAAATGAGGGTTTTAACAAATCCTGCATTTTAGATCCAACGCCAACTTGTCACAGGCTGTCTTTGATATTCTGTTACCAGTTCTCACAAAGATTAATAATTCTTCCTTACTATCGGGAACATTTCCAAAGGATTGGAAGGAACTGTTATCACTCCTTTGATCAAAAGGCTAATCTTAACCCCGCTGAACTTCAGAGTTATCGGCCTACTAGTAACCTTCAGTACATTTCCAAATTAACTGAGAGAGTCGGGTTTAATCAGGTTCACAACTAAATGACTGATCATACACTGTATCCAACCTCGTAGTCTGTTTACAGGAGAAATCACAGCACCGAGACAGCCTTGCTGAAAGTGACAAATAACATTTTTAATGAAAATATACTCTCGACAGGTCACTCTGCTAGTACCTATATAGACCTCAGTGCTGCCTATGACACTGCTGATCAGGCCATTTTACTTTAATCGACTTCAGTCTAGGTTTGGAATTTCTGGTGTTGTTCTAGATTGGCTTTGTTCTTATTTAAGTGGGAGGGGTCAACGGGTATATTATTTCATGTGGCCATGTCCAACAAACTTCATGTTAATTTGCGGTGTTCCACAGGGATCTTGTTTGGGACCGTTACTTTTTATCATATACTTTTCCAGACTGTTTGAAATAGCTGAGCGTCATCTTCCAAATGTTCACTGCTACGCTGATGACACCCAGTTGTACTGTCATTCAATCCTTGTAGTGTTGCTAATCAGCAGCAAGCTATACAAGCTGTGGAAGAATGTATAAATGACATACGTCAGTGGATGATACAGGACAGATTACTGATTAACGATTCTAAAACTGAGTGTAGTTTTATTGGTACCCTGCAGCAGCAACTGTCTAAATACCTTTATCAAATTTAAAAATGAAAACGTATCTGCATCTTTATGTGAACATAATTTAGGTGTCGTGTTTAACTCCACGTAATCCATGACTAAACATACATAATATACAAATACTGTTTGTTCAGCGGGATTTCTCAATATTCATAATATTAGGTGAATACGCAAATACTTGACAACTAATAATTTAACTGTTTTAATCCATGGTTTTAATTATAACCAGTTACATCACTGCAACAGCTCGTTTTACGGTTTACCTTATCAGCAACTCACTAAATTACAAAGCGTTCAGAATGCAGCTGTCCAACATGCTCATGGTGTTTAGATGGAATCACATTACACCAATACTATATTAGTTGCATTGTTCAACGGTTTCTTTCAGGATTCAATTCAAAATATTACTTTTGACATTTAGGCTCTTCGTGGTATGGCACCACACTATCTCAGTGATTTATTAAATATCAAAGAAAATTCGAAATATTAATTGAAATCAAATAACACCATGTTATTAGATTATCCGAAGGGGAAGGCAATGAATATTTTTGGACGACGGGCTTTCTGTGTGCACTGCAAAAACTGGATTAAATTTAATAACACACGGGTGTTATCAGGGGACTACACCAACAGTGGTGTTAAATTTTTGGTGTTATTTGATGTTACCTTTAACACTTTTTTAACACAGTGCATTGTAACACTTATAGGTGTGCAGAGAAACACCACTGTCCAGCGATGCTATGGTGTGGTCATCTGATAACACCCAAAGGTGTTTATTTTAACAGCACGGCTTTTGCGGTATGGCAGCTCCTTCTTTGTGGAATTCTTCTCCAGTGACGATCCGTTGGATTTCGTCACTGACACATTTTAAGATTCAAGTGAAAACACATTGATTCAGAGCTGCCTTTGGAAAGTAGCTGTACCCTGGGCTGATTTTAATTCTTTTTTTCCCCTTTTTTCTTTGGGGTCTCGTATTGTGTATTGTATAAATTTTTAGTGTTTTATTTAGTCCTCTTATTGCATTTTACTAATATAATGTAACTTTTGTTTATTCAATTGGTATGAGCATTTGAACATAATTTTGTTTTATTACTTATTATTATTTTTTAATATTTTCATAACACAAGCAAAGAAACCACACATCCGAGTTACGTTTATTCAACGGCCATTGTGACAGACAATATATAAGTAACGTGTTAAATTTACCTTCAATGGTACAAATACAACAATTAAATGTGAAAATGTAAGTTAGAAATCAGGCCGTAAGTTTTGCAGTTTTGATATTTTAAGAGTGACTTTTCTTGCGATAAAACAGGCTTTGAAGTGTACACTTTGAGGGCCAATCCGGAAAATACGGTTTTATATGTGCACACCTCCAAGACGGTTTGCCACTTATACTCCGACACATTGACAATGCATAACCACCAGAGTTTTCGCTTTCTTGGGCATGGTTTTTCGGGCCGCCCATTTATTTCCTTTTTTCTCTAATTTGAAGCAGACATGTTTGGCACCTTTGCCACAAAATAGGGGGCACGCTTGCCCAAAACTTGCCACGCTTGGCATCCTTGGCACTTATCGAACGTGTGTATCCACCATTCGCAGTTACGGTTGGAAACTAGCCCCACCTGAACAAGTAGGTGCTTGTGACAGTTTTCCAATCTTTCACGTGACTTAAAGTACTATGCAAATTACGTAAGAGTAAACTTGAAGAAAAAAACGCCGTGTTTTTCTACCGTTTTCACATATGGTTGGAATAAGCCCCTCCAGAATAGGAGGGTGCTTGGCTTGTATTCCTTAACATTAAAACAAGAATTATTAACATGCTAAAAACCTTGCATTGAAAACTAATTAAGTTGTTTCTTTAGCACTGCCCGTCGCTCCCAGCGAATTTCTGCCAAACGCCACGCTAGATAGGGGCCAGCAATGCACAGCAGCCACTAAAGGATAAATTTCGCAGTGTGCAATTGAAGACGAACGCCCCAACAGCTCTGAGGACCACCCACCTTGAAACCAGCGGCCACTGAAATAACCTCCGAAACCAATGCTTTCCACGGCATCTGTAAATAACGCTGATGCATCACTATCGAGCCAGCCCTTATCACGAAAGGGGGAAACTCCATTGAAATGTTTAAGGAATTCCATCCACATGAGCAAGTCAAGCTTAGCACCAGGAGAAAGGCGGACTTTATGATGGGATTAGGAATTGTGTTGCTGTTTAGGCACCAGCCCAATTGGAGAACATTGGAGATTGGGCAAAGGTCGGTGTGTGAAGGGTCCAGCAATTCCCCCAAGAACAATTTCATTTTGCAATTTTTTAGGACTATGTCAGGCATGTCCGTTGCCGACTTAAGGCATTTAGAATCTCTGCTAACTCTAGGGCCTTAAAAACCAAAATAAACCACCTGCGAAAAACCAGTAACAGAACAGCCGCCTCCCTGTTCGTATAATCCGACAACCATTGCCGTAGCACTAGCTAAGTTAATGGGTGTTGGGAGAATGAAAAGTGATATGTGTTTCTGTAGTTTTCTACCACTGAATTGTTGGCTGCTGTTTGCTCCTGGGGGAGCCTCTGCCCCTGCACAGCCGGCCAAGATGCCTGCCGCCCGCCTGCTGCAGCTGTCGGCGTGGCCTTTGTGTAGCTTGTTTTAGATTGCGCCACTGGGCGCAGTCCCCCTTTTTTCACGGGAAAACTGCGGGAGCCGCCTCCGTCCACGGCCACTTTACATGACGCTGCTCCGTGCCCTGAATGGCTACACTGACGGCAGCTATTCGCATATCGGTAGGGATTCCACCGATAACCGGCGATGGAATTGAACGAAAAACAGACGGCCTTATGTGTGGAGTTTTAGTGACCGCCACGGCAGCATTTGCCGAGGAAAATAAACTACCGGCCGCCGCAATTGTGACCCATAGCTCCATATCAATGACTGCCCATGACCGCGACGGATTTGTTTCCATTCGCAAGCGAAACTGCTCGTCATAGTTCCACCATCCCAGCCCTGGGAATTGTACCACCGCAGCGCGAATAATCTCCGCATACTTTCTGAGACCTGGCTCGGATGTGCCGCAGAATAGACAGCCATATAAATATGAAATGCACTTGACCATTTATCCTATGAATCAAGTTTTTGCAGCTGAGGAACTGCAGGCCGAAAAACAACCCTGTCTTGCTGGACAGCCATCGTTAACTCTGACCCGCTCGCCGTAGAGGCCAGCGCCCTGTTGGCACTGTCACGGTACGGTAATGCCATTTCAATATATTGACCATAACGAATTCCCCTTTCACTGGTGGGGAGATATGGAGATCAATGGGAGCCCCAATGTCTACAGAATGCACAGGAGCCGGTCTTGTCATGTCTAGAGCCGACGCACCGGGCAAAAGGCCGTTGTTATTGGCCTAAGCAAAGCCAGGACCGGCGGTGTGAGAGGGTTGGCTTTCTGCACGAACTACATCCCCGATCTGATAATTTCTCTCGTCTGCAAACGCCGGATTAGAATAAGGGGGGAAGTATTCGGACTAGTCTGGAGGACTAAACCGCTAGCATTCAAAACATTGGCTCCAACACTACTTGAAAAGTACTGACATAACTACATGTACTTGGGTTAAACCCTGGACTTGTGCCGAAACCAGCAGACGACCAATTGCTAGCACTGCCAATACTATTAACGTCCGCTAGGTTGGGTCGCCATCCACTGAAAGGCCCACCGACCCGACTCACTGACAACAGCAGGGGCCATACTTGTAACCGTAGGTCCAGCAGCAGAAACCCGGCTTGATCTCACCGCGGCTGGAACTGCGAGACCTGGGCGTACCCCCGTGTCACCTCCTAAAACTCCACTGCGACCCGTCGACCGGAGCTGTTGCCCTCTCTGCGGTGGCCTCTAGAGCTGGCTCAGCTGCTGTCAATTTCCCAAGACGAGAGCGCCAAAGACGGCGGCAATTTCCAGCTGCAGCTGTAGCAGTACGCAATGGGGATGAACGGTGGGCCCGTGTCTTCCGCTCTCGAATCGAACGGGGGCATCGCTGGCTGCTAGGAAGAAACCCAGCCTTTCAGGCAACCTTACGACAAGGCAATCAGTCCCGGACGTCTCAGGCAAAAACGCGGTCCCACAAACTTTCACAAGTGGCCAGGGAACGAAGGAAATCAATTCAGAAATATATGTGGTAAATATCCGCTCCAAAGTTCAAGACAACCGAACCAATCAGACAATATTTGGTCTTGAAAGTTAGTTCTCTGGCGGAGCGAATTCAATTTTCATGTGACAGCTTCGATAAACTAAACCAGTGTGGCTTTTTGGCGTGAAGCAGGCCGCGCATATAGGTATTGTATTGGCGTGGGGGTGGCCAGCAGGTGCAACTTGAGGAGATTTATTGTTCCTGCCTACATTCCAAACCCCTAGGCGTGATCAGCCGATGGACAGTACAAATATCGCGACCTTCCCTCCCCCAAATAAAACTTGTGTCTGCAGGGAATAACGGATTTTTCTTGCAGAGATAAAATAGAATAATATTGCAGTACAAAAAGAATTTCTGTTCGTACTTTCTTTCCCCCAATCCTACTAAAAATCACAAATACCAATTAAATAGATATACAACGGTACGTTTATGTTTCTAGTCGAATTTGATTCCATGTATTCCATGATTGTTCCAATCGCTTTATTAATTGTACGAGAACGTAGGCTGTATTGATGAAGTAATCATTGTGAGGGCACGTTTTCAACGAAGCACCACTACGAAGTCCTTAGGCCCACAGTCTTAAGAAGTCCCTTATGCCCCTATTCCATACAGCTACAAGTCTGTAAGGAATTTGTTTTTGTATTTTCGATCCATTTTAAGAGTTTATTGTAAACTTCCGGAAAACAACTGCAAAACACTCCCAAATCAAATTCCATTGATCGGTGCATTGTGTATTGGGTATGTAAGCTAAAACCGTACGAAAAAAGGTATTTGGTGAGCTTGATGAATTTCATTTTATTTTGAAAAAAAGGTAACCTAAATCATCCTTCTACCGATGAACTAAATGCAAGAAATCAAAGTACATCAAACTGGAATACATCCAAGGTGGATCCAGAAGTAGCCTTTTTCAGGGGGAGGGGCGGGAGGAGGGGGGGGGGCAAATAGTTTTGAAATTGTTGGTGTAACGTTTTATGTTAAACGTTTAACGTTTTATGGCATTTATCGTACTGAGCCTAAATTTGGGGTTTTTTATGTGCTTCGGAAGGAAATCAACTGAAATAAAACAATTGCATTTTGCCCTTAGTTCTTATTTTGAAAAAAATGGCCTTTTGATTTTGAGATTTTTGGCTCCTAGGGGGGGGGGCTCTTGTTCACCCCAGAATCCGTCGTGGGAGTACATCAACAATGTGGCAGTGAATGAAACTAATTTTAATTTTTGTTTTCCTCAATAACCAGGAAGTGGAAAATTTATATGACATGTTCTACACACGAATGAGTCTCCATCGCCGAGCATACCAACACAAGACCACCAAGATCATTGAAGAAATGTAAGTTTTATTGATCAAGAGAAAGACTTTGATAATTGAGTGCAGTGGTCAAAAGAGGGTGCGTGCGTGATAGCCCCGGTGGGACATCGTCAGTCGTCAATATTGACGTCAATGTTTACGACCAAATTTACAATTTGCCTTCTAGTCGCGAATATTGCCATCAATATTTGCTACCAAATTTACACTTGTATCTCTGGTCACAAATATTGCCGCGATTTTTTCCGGCAAGCTAGATGCGCGATGACCTACAATTTTCGGCTTGATTTCAAGTCGTTATTTGGCGGGGCAACTTGGCTTTATCTATAGCCAAGCAACTTTGCTCTAGCTGGCTTGCTGGAAAAAGATTGTGGCAATATCTGCGACGGGAGATACGAGTCGTGAATTTTGTTGCAAATACTGACGGCAATACATGCGACCAGAGAGAGTCGCGGATTTGGTTTCAAATATTGGTGTCAATATTGACGATGGGCGATGCCTCTCTAGGGCCACCATATGCGTGCCTACTGCAATCTAAACAAGACAACAAAACACCTAAAGAAAGCATTCATAAAAGGGTGCATGTGTACAGTTATGTGTAGGTACAACATGACTTTGCATTAAAATTCAAAGTTGAACATTTGGTGGCCTCATTTTTTATGTAGAAAAGAACGAAAACTTCAAGGCAATAATCCTAAATGTACACGAAGTAATAGAAGTTATAGTTCTTGTAAAATACCATACTGAAACAAAAAGTAATGACACGTTATTACCAAAGTTATATCTCACCTTTTTGCATCATTTGGTACGTGAGTCAGAGCTCTAGTTTTTAGCACTATGGGCCAAGCACATATTTATTCCCTTATTTATACTGGAACAAAATACAAGAGAAAAGATGATTATATGGGAGAGAGGGGTGCACGGGGACTATGCAGGCTCCCAGGGGAAGCTGATGCTCTGAAACTATATGGACGCCGTTCTTAACCCAATTCNGCGTGCAGCCTCTTTAACTGAAACATTTATTGAAAAACAAATGACAGTGAAATATTTAATCCATTCCAGAGTACTTAGTCTATGATCTTTGTGTGTAGTTCTTCCCACGCCCGGCTAGACCGTATCCCAAATCAATCTTATCACAACACAGGCGCACATAAGATTTTCTGTTTCATATTTTAACAAATGGTCTGTTTGGTTCTTGGAATGCTATAACATGAATTTCTCCCCTGCCTTTTTTTAACCTAGGCTTGTTGAAGCACTTATAAAGGCCAATAAGTATTTGACGTTCAAAGGACGAGATGATAAGTGAGTAGAGCTGATATATCTCTTGGGTTCAAGTTTCCCTCGATTTGTTCTTTGAGAATCGCTGGGGTTTTCTCGGAGGGGAGCAACGCACTCAGTAGTAATGAACTGATAAGAGTGGAAGAAGTCGATATCGCATTAATTTCAAGCCAGGTGATGGTCGTCATCCCATACTGTACCCCTCCCAACGCCCATAGTTTGTCGAGTTCACGTCCCTTCAAGACTGCAGATTAATTTTTCAAAATGTTCTGCTTCCAGCTGTCAGTAATCAGGCGTGTAAACTTTTCCTTTGAATTTAGAGATAAGAGAATGTCTGACGCCATTCACGACATGGTTGCCTACACCAAGATGACAGATGACATCATACAACAGATCATGCGCTCTAATAACAAAAATTTGAAGCCGTCCCAGGATATCCTAAAGCGGATCGAAAGACGTCAGCTGTACAAATATATCGGCAAGATGGATCCTAAAGAGAAGATTGTCAAGGTAGGGTGAAACCTGCACAGTTTTCCAAATTTTTGCTAGTTTGATTCACCTGCCCGAAAAGCTTTGGTTTTCATTGAAATTAAATTTTACTTTTTTTCCGGCAAACATCACCAATAGGAAACGACACGTCATTTTGCATCACTTTAGGCACTGTCCCAATCAGCGCAACAAAAATTTAAAATGGTGGTGTTGTCGCGTGACACAGAATTAGTGTTTTGTGAATAGGGCCTATGGGGGATATGATAAGATAGGAACAATGTTTTGTTTTTCTATTTTTCCATTCTTTTCCCCTATCTCTTGAACAAAGCAAGGTATTTTCAAAATTCTTAAAGGTAGATATTTGATAGTTAATTAAGAAGTCACACAGTATTTGGAACTCTGTGATGTCACGATGGCGTACGACTTCTTTGTTAACACATGTAAGGCAATTTTAATCATCAAAACCATTGCGTGGCCCGTGAATTGCAGTATATGCATGCCTCACGGTTCTCCACGGCGATTTTTTCTTGGTTTTTTAAAAAAACTAGTATTTTCCACCTGATTTTATTTCCTTGGAATTGAGTGGACCTGAAAAATTGGAATCTGTCACGGGCGCCATTTTTGAAAGTGCAGTCTTCCCGCGCTCATATCTAAACCTCAAGGTTGGGACATCGTCACGTATAAGTTCAGGATTTGTGATAAATGTTGTAATACGTCCATACGGTAAAGAAATCCTATAGAAGTCTGTTATTTTGCAAGTACGCTTAAAGCGGGATAAAGCAAAGATACCGGTAGTAAATAGCTACACCAAACAGTAACAAGTACATACTAAACTCCTCTTCCATGTACAAGCAACAATTTCCCCGGACCTGCACCAACCTGAATCTGCCCCTGACTTTTTATTTCTTACACTATACGTGGAAGTAAGGAAAACAGGTGGACAGTTGTGTTCGTTAGGAAGAAGCTACATGTAAAATCTACCACCTACCACAAACTACTCTTGCTACAACATAGCAAAGCATTGAGGCCACTGATAAATTAACATTATCTTATAATTACACTGATCAGAAATGAATTAATAAACCATTAACGGTGGAGGGGCCCACATTGTGGTTTGTGCTTATGGAGATTTTCCACATTTTTTCATTCTTTTCACTCTTTCCTATACAGAGTTTGGCTCTGTTTATCCTTCCCAGGAGTGGGGGGGTTGAGGATGTCAAGTGCTCCCTGCGCCCCCCCCCGTGACGTTCATAACTAGGGATGCATGTATATGTAATGGTACACCGTCAAGGAGGTCGGCTTAGATTCAGGGCGCTGGGACTCTGATCCGAAGCCAAAAGATTTCAATTATCGCTGGTGGTGGCGGTGGTGGCGGTGGCGTTGGTGCCCCGTGGTGGTAGTGACATAACCAATGCAATTTCACGAAAGAAGGATATAAACTGAACAAATGCTGAAAAACAACTACAAATTCAAGTAAAACTGTACCATTTGTATAACAGACACTTTGTCTTCCTTGACACGCTAAAACGCGTACGGTATGATTGGCTTTGTTTCTTCATAAAAACAGCACGCGCAGTACGCGCAGTACGCGCTTTGCCATAACGCATGCCAATTATTGTTTTATTTTACCGTATACATTTCTCAAGTCAACTTCGTATCTTCGTGAAAACGGCAAAACTAGTTTTTTTCAATGCCCCTTATTGAACGCCGACAGTACCCTAGTCTTGGGCCATGACGGCATAATATATGCTGCGCACCGATTTTCTACTGCGCCCCTCTCGTGACTTCATTTCACCAACTGACCAATCTACCGTCTTGGGAATCTCCTACACTCGAGGCGTGGCCTTTGTGTGCAAATAGTAGTTTAAATGGATATTCACAATTGACCTTAGGATGCGAAATAGGATACAAAAGAGACCGTGGGAGCTTTTGAGCGGGTTCGCATCAATAGCGTCAATTTCTTCAGTTTTGTTACATGAAGTCTTTTACAGGCTCACTTCTTCGCTCCTTGCTCCAATGCATCGATCGTGACCATTGTCAACAGTGACAGCAAAGTACCAGTACGTTAAGCGTCGCGTGATAACACTTACACATGTACATTATATTGTGTGTAGGTCATGTGATGCATGTAATTGATCCATATTCATCACATAAAAAACCAAGAGGAATTTCCTGGGTGCTGATTGGCTTCTCCGGAAATCCGGAGGAAACTAAAGAAAAAGATAAACGGATTGTAGGAGACCGTACCGTGTGCGAAAAGGCAAAAATTGAAAATTGATTTGGCTCTCTGCGATCATGGCAAGGTCTCGGCTGTTTCCCCAGACTAAAGACGGATATTTGCTAACCCTTAACTCTCAAAAAATGTCACTTGGTGTTGGCCTATATATGTTTTTGTTTGAAAACGTTGTTTGTGAACGTAAAGCATTTTAAGATTATTCGCGTGATCCTACCATGATTCCAAGTCTGTTCCTGGTCAAAATAATACCCGTGTAACGATTCGTCTGCTTGTGGTTCGTGAACTACTGAAAGGTCCTGGCAGAATCTAAAGTATATTCTCACAATAAGCTGTCGTAGTTTAATAAGGAGAATCGGGGATTATGGCGTCCAAACTGTTAATTTTTTTTTTCTGAAGAGCAGCATGAAAAACGTGTGGACAAATTGCGGTGACATGGCCACTAGAAAAAGAAACAATAAATCATAGTTTCTCATTGTGGAGTCTCGTAAGAGACAGGGACCCCACGCAAGTCAGTACAAATAAGGACAGCATAGTGCGCCGTTTGCTTTTACCAGCATGATATGAAAATCATAATTCCAATCATAATTCCTGAGAAAGAAGATGACCATTAGTTGAAATAACTCACTGTAATGTGATACCCGATGATGTCATACCGCCCCCTTGCATGCACATCTGCCGAGGAGTGGTATTTATTCCTACTTTCACTGCCATTTTTTACTGTTGGATAGAGATCGGCTGTGACTTCATCATGAAAAGGTTTCGTCAACGCCTCCCAGTATTTTAGTGACACCGAGTTTAAGTTAGTTAATCATTCCTTAGTCAAACAGACTACCCCAACTATGGGTAAATAGCAGATGGTAAACGGCTGACTGCGCGGACGAAACTACTGAACTGGTTCAACTGGCAAGAAGGCGGTCCCAGTATGGCGTTGTGGAGCGCGTCTAGGGCAGAGTGATGACACAAACATCACTTCTGGCCATCCACTGCATCGGCTGGGTCGGCTGTGACCACTTGTCGTGGGAGGGAGTACTGGGTAATCAAGGCCTGGGCAAGTGCAACAGCAATGGTCAGCTCCTCCTTGATTTCTGCGTCACCCACGGTCTTCTCATTACCAACACCGTCTTTCGTCTCCTCCACCGTAACAAGACATCTTGGATGCACCTGCGCTCTAAGCACTGGCACCTCCTGGACTACGCCATGGTCAGCGAGGGAATAGACAGGACGTGAGAGTCACGAAGCCAATGTGTGGAGTGGAATGCTAGGCGGACCATCGTCTGCTGAAATCGAAGTTGAACCTCCGAATCACACCCAGGAGGCCTCAAAGCACTAAAGTTCCCAGCGACTGAGTTTGTCCAAGCTCAAGAGTGACACTGTCAAGCAAGAACTGATAGTGGAACTTGGGTGAAAACTACCACACCTGGATATAGACCAAGACACTGATGTGGAAGTAGAGTGGGCTCGCTTCTGTGATGCTGTCTATGCTGCTGCCTCAGACGTGCTGGGTTTGACGACAATAACACTCACATCCACACTCTACTGGAGGAGAAACACCGACCCCATAGGGCTCACCTCAATGATCTTTTATCCACCTCCAAGAAGGACACATTCAACGCGGCCAAAAGAAGAGCCCAAACTGAGCTGCGCCGCATGTATGACCAACGGCTCGATGCGAAGGCGAAAGACATCCGGGCCTACGCAGACAAGAAGGTCATGAAGAACTTCTACAGTGCCCTCAAGGCCCAGTACGGTCCCACCAAGTCCGGATCTTTCGCTGTTTTCAGTGCTGATTGGAACACGCTGATTACGAACAAGGAGAAGATCCTGGAGCGCTGGGCGGAGCACTTTAACACCGTCCTGATCCGGCCGTCAACCATTAACGACGAATCAACTGCAAGACTGCCTCAAGTCCCGGTCGATGACTTTTTGGCTGAACTCCCGACTAAAGCAGAGGTGAAAAAGGCCATAAAGCTCTTGTCCAGTGGCAAAGCACCTAGTGCTGACTCTATCCCAGCCGAGATGTACGCCTCTGGGGGTTCAAAAATCGTGGAGAGCCTCACTTGTTCTGCTCCGCATCAACTCAAGAGAAATTACCACAAGATCTGAAAGATGCTTCGATCATCCACCTGTACAAGCGCAAAGGTAACAGGAAAGCATGTGACAACCATTGCGGTATCCCCCTTCTTTCGATATCCCGGAAGATTCTGGCCCGCGTCCTGCTCAACCGCCTTAATGTCCACCTTGAACGCGGCCCGCTACCTCAGAGCCAGCGTGGATTTCGTGCGGGTCGTGGAACCGTGGACATGATTTTCATAGCTCACCAACTACAGGAGAAGTGTCAGGAGCAGAACGTTGGTCTGTATACCATCTTCATGGACCCGACGAAAGCCTTCGACACAGTCTGCCGTGAGGGCCTGTGTCAGAGATGCAAGACTGCATGGATCAGTTCTCCAAAGCTTGCAAGGAATTTGGTTTCACCATTTCTACTAAGAAAACAGAAGTCCTGCATCAGCCAGCCCCCTCAGCCCCTTACACAAAGCCTTATATCACCGTTAACGGCCAAAATTGCCTGTAGCAGACAGGAAGTCTGCTCAGTTGGAGGTGTCCTACCGAGTCGCCTTAGCCTTTGGAGGACTTAACACAAGATTTGCTAGCGGAGAGGACTGAGCCAGGACACCAAGCTCAAAGTCAACAAAGCAGTCGTCTTACCATCACTGCTCTGTGCCTGTGAAACGTGGACCGTCTACAACCGGCACGCGAAGAAGCTTAATGCCTTCCACATGAGATGCCTCAGAACTCTGCAACGAGTGAATTGGTGGGATAAAGTTCCTGATACAGAAATGCTCCAGCGTGCTGAGATGGAGGGCGTTCACGCCATCTTGATGCGCTCTCGGGTCCGGTGGGCCGGCCATTTACACCGCGTGGATGACAGTCGTCTCCCCAAGAGACTACTCTACAGGGAGCTGATTTCTGGCAAGCGCACACTTGGCAGACCAAAGCTGCAATTCAAAGACACTCTAAAGGCCTCTCTCAAAGCATGCAACATTGCTCAAGCCACCTGGGAAGTATCTGCTGAGGACCGTCCTGCTTGGCGATCCCTCCTGAAAGCTGGTGTTGATGAGTTTGAGGAAAACCGCATCAGAGTCAAGGAACACTGACGTCAGATAAGGAAGGAGCGCATCAGTTCCACCCTCCATCCTGGTTCAATTCCAAACATTCCCTGCCCCCACTGTAGGAGGCAGTTCCGTGCGAAGATCGGCCTAATCAGCCACCTCCGTTTTCACCCAACCTTCAAGTGATGACATCCCTGAAGTCAATGGTCATCTTCGCCTCTGAAGGACGAACATCAGTCAAACAGAGGGCAATCAAGAAGAACTTATCAACTTAAGTAATGACGAAAATCGACCATTTACACGGTATTTTAAACCAATAAAACCCAAAAGAATTAACTACAACCTGAAACTGCAAAATCAAAATGAAAATCAAAACCTACAAAAGAACTAACTCATCAAACTTTTGAAAACACATTCTGCAGTCACTGACTCGGCAGACCGAACTCAAGCATAATGACCTCACTCCAGCCTAGGGGAATACTTTGTATAATCCACTTGTGTCTGCTGGTTTGCTGTATTGAGTTTGACTGGACCATCTTACCATGTGATTAAATTAAAAAATAACTAGAGCTCAAAAGGTACAATTTATCATTTATGACTTTTAAAAAGTAATTAAGCATAAAAATTAAAAATCATTGCATTTTCCACAGGCCAATTAATATGTTCAAAACTCTACACTTGACATGACAAAATCTGTAAACGAGTAATACAAGAAAGCAAAAATATGTGAAAACAAACTACATAATGCATTGTCTATGTTTGTTTACTTTTTGTATTACCACGGATCGCTGATGAGATTGACACTAAGAAAATATATAAGAATTAAAACCACTGAAGTCATCTAGGTAAATCATACTCAGCCTTGAGATCGTGACAAAAATTTTGCCGGATTGAAGCTTGTGACTAGCAATATTTGTCGCCTCACGAATTTCGTTTTTACATTCATCCATTTGCAGACAATAGAAGAAGAAGTAAGAGACGGGAAGAATAAAATTGCAAAGAAAGAAGGCTCTGCCCTGAAAAAAGATGATATCATCGATGTAAGTGTTGTTTTCGTTAACGAGCTTGACAAGTATAGAGTGCCAAAGTATGACGTCAATTTAAAAGAGGAAGTGTAGTGCAAGCATAATCGCGTGTGTGTTGGGTCACGCGCAGGTTCTCGCTCTAAGGCATTTTTTTCACTCATAATTGTGAGCGTGACGTAATTACTTCAGTACTAGTATAAATTTTCTTTTTTTTCAAATAATGGGGGAAGAATGTATCTAGGGTATTCCATTTTATGTCAGACATCAGGTCAGACAAATATCATGGATTCACGACATCGCCACTATGAAGTAATGAATTGATAACATTTCAGTGATCTTGCTTCGAAAGGGCATGTCGATTACCTTTGAACATGATTTATCATAACATTTAGTGCATCTGTTGTATGACTGTAATTGAAGTTTGGTCCAAGCTTATCAAGTTTAAATTCCTTGGCAACTGTGTTACGATGATCCCCTATAGCTAAGGAATAAATCCTCCAAAAAGAATCGAAACAAAGTAGACAGTTCTCACATTCATCAGTCAATCAATTAATATATTTTAACACTCACAATTCAAAATGAAATGACAGAAACAAGATACTTGTAATAATAGGCCTATATATATAAAAAAAGCCAATAATAAACGAATACGACGTAGTTTACTGGTATGATATATGAGATGGCGGGGCGAGCAGGGCCGAAATCAACGAGAGAAAGTTCAGTGTTCTGTTCTCGAATCGTGACGATGAAAAACAACAACCAGAAGGAGAAAACGGGTGATCAAGTACGGCTAGCACGTCGCACTACGATGAGCCTCACACACGTAGGACGGGTCAATCCCCCAATCACAATGGTCTGAATCAGCGGGCGCCAATCCAAAGTGCGACGAAGCCGCAAGACCGGTGTGGCGGTCTCAGCTGTCTCCCGGTCTCAGCGGTCCCCCTGACGTAGCCAGACATTTATTTACGACACACGCACGGTCTCATTGGTCTTCCGTGCTGAGATGCTACAATCTTTGGTATAGACCTATGTACAGTACACGTCACGTACAACGTGAAGCATGCATGGACTGCACTGCTCAGCACGCCACGTAAACGGACAACTTTTCCGATGTTGTGGGCAGATATGGCATGACGTATTTTTACCGTTGAGACCGGGAGAGAGCTGAGACCGCCACACCGGGACCGGACAGCACTGTAGAGGTGCAAACTCCTAATATTTAGTTCCAAAGCTGCTACCTGCATCGCTCCAAGCGACATCCTGGGACCTTCAGACAACAGGCTCCCAGTTCCGGTCCCCCAAGCGCGTGCCCCACACTCTAAAAAGGATAAGTCAAATTTGACTTGAATTCAGTAAAGTTTGATTCGCTCTTCAGGGTCAGCTGGGTGCAACTGGAAATTAGTCAATCTGACCAGACGTTTTTAGTCAGTTCATTGATATTTCAAAGGCATCGAATAGGAATCTTATCAGAAAGCATGATTTGACAACGTTAGCGTGGATGTTTTACTGAATCAGTAGTCAATTTTGAACAGCAAAGGTTGTTTTAGAAGTGCAGGGGAACTGACTCCCCAAAACAGCCGGCAGTGGGCACTCGTATTATCGTGGAGATCACCGGCCCTTTCTGGTCTAATTGTGAGGGACGAATGCACGCCCCAAAGTCCGTCAATTCAATTTCTACGAACATACCATCAATTCCAACCACTTCTCCAAAGTTCGACAATTGCTTTTGTGAATGTTCACTGGGTATTCAACTGCTCACCCCAAATGGGTCAATCTGCTGGCCACTGTACATTAAAACTTTCAGAAATGTACCAGTGTCGAATCATGGAGGAAGGACACAAAAGGAGTTTGAACTGCCGGGGCTATAACATCTGGCCAAATACCGCTTTCTGGCATACCCGGTATGTCCGTAGCCAGAGCGCAACGCACGCCTGCTACTCACCACCTGTTTAGCAACCATAAGCCCTCTTTCTACCCTAAGATCGTCGCCGCTTTTTTTCGTTGGTAATCTGCATCCCTAAAACGTTGTGTACTGCAGTACAGGAAGTTGAGTATCCATGCCATCGTTGGTGCTTGATATGATCCGACAACATCAAATTTAGTGCTTGCGTAGTTGCTTTTACTAGGATGTGTACCCGAAGTGTTCATGTGCAGTTGTTGCTTTTATCGAACGCTTTCTTCTAAACTTCTTTTAGGAATAAATAGCCGAGCTGTTTGTAAGATTTTGTGTTTTGTTTGAATCATTTTTATTATGGCATTTGTACAAAGGCGTATTTTATGCAATTTCAG